AAAGTGACAAGCATGAAAGTGACAGCTGAAAGTGACGAGCAGAAAATGACGGCATAACGGACGAAATTTTAAAGTGCAATCATGAAAGTGACGGCATAAAGTGACAACATGAAGTGACAAGATGAAAGTGAGGAGCAGAAAGTGACGATATGAAAATGAAAACCATGAAGTGACAATCATGAAAGTGGCGAACTGAAAATGACAAGCATGAAAATGCGACATGATGACGGGCTGAAAGTGAAAATCTGAAAGGACGACATGAAAGTGACAATCATGAAATGACAATTGAAAATGACAAACATGAAAGTGCAGACTGGGTGACAATCATGAAAGTGACAATCAGAAAATGGGAATCATGAAAGTGACGAGTGAAAGTGACGAGCCTGAAAGTGACAATAATAAAAAAAGACGATAATGAAGGTGATAAAATGAAAGTGACGAGCATGAAAGTGACGAGCATGAAAGTGACAAGCATGAAAGTGACGAGCATGAAAGTGACGAGCATGAAAGTGACGAGCATGAAAGTGACGAGCATGAAGTGACGAGCATGAAAGTGACAGTCATGAAAGTGACGATCATGAAAGTGACGAGAATGGAAGTGATGAGCATGAAAGTGACGAGCATGAAAGTGACAAGCATGAAAGTGACAAGCATGAAAGTGCAAATCATGAAAGTGACAATTATGAAAGTGACGAGCATGAAAGTAACGAGCATGAAAGTAACGAGCATGAAAGTGACGAGCATGAAAGTGACGAGCATGAAAGTGACGAGCATGAAAGTGACAAGCATGAAAGTGACGAGCATGAAAGTGACGAGCATGAAAGTGACGAGCATGAAAGTGACGAGCATGAAAGTGACGAGCATGAAAGTGACGAGCATGAAAGTGACGAGCATGAAAGTGACAAGCATGAAAGTGACGAGCATGAAAGTGACGAGCATGAAAGTGACAAGCATGAAAGTGACAAGAATGAAAGTGACAAGCATGAAAGTGACGAGCATGAAAGTGACGAGCATGAAAGTGACAAGCATGAAAGTAACGAGCATGAAAGTGACGAGCATGAAAGTGACAAGCATGAAAGTGACAAGCATGAAAGTGTCGAGCATGAAAGTGACGAGCATGAAAGTGACGAGCATGAAAGTGACAAGCATGAAAGTGACAAGCATGAAGTGACGAGCATGAAAGTGACGAGCATGAAAGTGACAAGCATGAAAGTGACAAGCATGAAAGTGACGAGCATGAAAGTGACGAGCATGAAAGTGACGAGCATGAAAGCCTCGTCTGTGACTATGATGATGATTCTATGTCGAAATCCATTGCTGTAACTTCTTTAGCTATTTAATTGTTTGTGTGTGTATGTTCCACATTATGGTTGTAACAAATAAGTTTATTGTATGTGGTGTGCATGAGGTTACTTATCCATGAGGTGGGTGAAGGGTAGACCAAGTGTTGAAAAATGAGTGGAAGGGAAGGAGGGAATTTACCTGGAGTCATTTCCGGAGGTCATCAACCCGGAGTCTTGTTGCAGACCAGTATAACGCAGTCTTGTTGCAGACCAGTATAACGCAGTCTTGTTGCAGACCAGTATAACGCAGTCTTGTTGCAGACCAGTATAACGCAGTCTTGTTCCAGACCAGTATAACGCAGTCTTGTTCCAGCCCAGTATAACGCAGTCTTGTCCAGACCAGTATAACGCAGTCTTGTTCCAGACCAGTATAACGCAGTCTTGTTCCAGACCAGTATAACGCAGTCTTGTTGCAGACCAGTATAACGCAGTCTTGTTGCAGACCAGTATAACGCAGTCTGGTTGCAGACCAGTGTAACGCAGTCTTGTTCCAGACCAGTATAACGCAGTCTTGTTGCAGACCAGTATAACGCAGTCTGGTTTCAGACCAGTATAACGCAGTCTTGTTCCAGACCAGTATAACGCAGTCTTGTTCCAGACCAGTATAACGCAGTCTTGTTGCAGACCAGTATAACGCAGTCTTGTTCCAGACCAGTATAACGCAGTCTTGTTCCAGACCAGTATAACGCAGTCTGGTTGCAGACCAGTATAACGCAGTCTTGTTCCAGACCAGTATAACGCAGTCTTGTTCCAGACCAGTATAACGCAGTCTTGTTGCAGGACCAGTATAACGCAGTTCTTGTTCCAGACCAGTATAACGCAGTCTTGTTGCAGACCAGTATAACGCAGTCTTGTTGCAGACCAGTATAACGCAGTCTGGTTGCAGACCAGTATAACGCAGTCTTGTTCCAGACCAGTATAACGCAGTCTTGTTGCAGACCAGTATAACGCAGTCTTGTTGCAGACCAGTATAACGCAGTTTGTTGCAGACCAGTATAACGCAGTCTTGTTCCAGACCAGTATAACGCAGTCTTGTTGCAGACCAGTATAACGCAGTCTTGTTGCAGACCAGTATAACGCAGTCTGGTTGCAGACCAGTATAACGCAGTCTTGTTCCAGACCAGTATAACGCAGTCTTGTTCCAGACCAGTATAACGCAGTCTTGTTCCAGACCAGTATAACACAGTCTTGTTGCAGACCAGTATAACGCAGTCTTGTTGCAGACCAGTATAACGCAGTCTTGTTGCAGACCAGTATAACGCAGTCTTGTTGCAGACCAGTATAACGCAGTCTTGTTCCAGACCAGTATAACGCAGTCTTGTTCCAAACCAGTATAACGCAGTCTTGTTGCAGACCAGTATAACGCAGTCTTGTTGCAGACCAGTATAACGCAGTCTTGTTGCAGACCAGTATAACGCAGTCTTGTTCCAGACCAGTATAACGCAGTCTTGTTGCAGACCAGTATAACGCAGTTTGTTGCAGACCAGTATAACGCAGTCTTGTAGCAGACCAGTATAACGCAGTCTTGTTGCAGACCAGTATAACGCAGTCTTTTTGCAGACCAGATAACGCAGTCTTGTTGCAGACCAGTATAACGCAGTCTTGTTGCAGACCAGTATAACGCAGTCTTGTTCCAGACCAGTATAACGCAGTCTTGTTGCAGACCAGTATAACGCAGTCTTGTTCCAGACCAGTATAACGCAGTCTTGTTGCAGACCAGTATAACGCAGTCTTGTTCCAGACCAGTATAACGCAGTCTTGTTGCAGACCAGTATAACGCAGTCTTGTTCCAGACCAGTATAATGCAGTCTTGTTCCAGACCAGTATAACGCAGTCTTGTTGCAGACCAGTATAACGCAGTCTTGTTGCAGACCAGTATAACGCAGTCTTGTTGCAGACCAGTATAACGCAGTCTTGTTGCAGACCAGTATAACGCAAGTCTTGTTCCAGACCAGTATAACGCAGTCTTGTTCCAGACCAGTATAACGCAGTCTTGTTCCAGACCAGTATAACGCAGTCTTGTTCCAGACCAGTATAACGCAGTCTTGTTCCAGCCCAGTATAACGCAGTCTTGTTCCAGACCAGTATAACGCAGTCTTGTTCCAGACCAGTATAACGCAGTCTTGTTCCAGACCAGTATAACGCAGTCTTGTTCCAGACCAGTATAACGCAGTCTTGTTCCAGACCAGTATAACGCAGTCTTGTTCCAGACCAGTATAACGCAGTCTTGTTCCAGACCAGTATAATGCAGTCTTGTTCCAGACCAGCATCACGCAGTCTTGTTGCAGACCAGTATAACGCAGTCTTGTTCCAGACCAGTATAACGCAGTCTTGTTCCAGACCAGTATAACGCAGTCTTGTTCCAGACCAGTACAACGCAGTCTTGTTCCAGACCTTCCACCAATAGTTGGATTGGATGTACTGCTATACAAATACATAACATAAGTATTACATTGTTGACAGTTTGTACACGCTTCTGTATGTCGATCTTGATATACAAACTAAAAAGTAATATAATAGAACCAAGAAGCTGTTATAATATGGCACCTGTAGGGATTCTGTATAATGCGAAGGGATGTTAGATGTGAGACACAGGAAGAGATACTCTACAACAAGCATAATGAATTGTGAGGCCTCACCGTCAGAAGTATGGAAAATCAATCAGTTGCTGTTCATGCCATCTATGTGCTCTGAAGAAAACTCTATATATATATATTATATATATATATATATTATATATATATATATATATATATTAATATATATATATATATATATATATATATATATATATATATATATATAATATATGTGTATATATATATATATATATATATATATATATATATATATATATATATATATATATATATATATATATATATATATATATATAATACACATATATAATAAAATATTGAATAGACAGGGCGCACACAGGTTGTTAATGTTAAGTTTTCAGAACTCAGAGATAACTTGAATAATAAATGTGCAAATGAAAGAAATTGATTCACAGAGAAAAATTATCACTCGGTTATATAAGACAGTCAGTCATGGAATAAGACAGTCACACACAGCAATTTTTTTAACATGTAATCAACTAGCACGAAATTTACATAAGTACAGACAGTACAAAAAATGAATAAATTATAATTACAAGTATTTACACACTATTTACGTATTAAACAATAATATGAGGTAACACATGGTTGTACAGTAATTACAGAACTGACACAATCAAGATGGCAGTGTATAGCAAAACTTAAGATGTGATAAATGATTTTGAAAACCGACAAGTTGAAGATTGAGACATTTATGCAACATATGGGAATCTTTATTAAGGAAAAGTTTCCTTAATAAAGATTCCCATATATTGCATAAGTGTCTCAATCTTCAAACTAAAGATGGTAAGTGAAAACTTGGAATAACACGTGTCTTTATAACATATTAACATCACATAAGAACATAAGAAACGAGGAACACTGCAGTAGGCCCGTTGGCCCATACTGGGAAAGTCTTTCAAAAATATAACCACTAACAATATTTACTAACGTGCCTCTTAATGGACACTGATGCACTTTGGTTTTATTATCAAGTGCAATTTATAGCTTTAAAGGTAAATCACTTTGTAAACAATACTTTCTTCCTTACCACCAG